GGGAGGGTAGTGTTGATTTTTTTGAACTTTTTTGCTAGGCTGTTTTTCCGGGCGCCTGGGTGCCCGGCCGGGCATGACCCCCGAGCACGGTTCTGGGCAGCCTCAGCACCAAAAAAAATAAAAAAATGAAAAAAAAAAATCCGGAAAAAAATATGTTGTGTAGAATTGCAATACAAACGACTTTTGGCTGAGGGTCACATTAAAATTCCTCACAGAATCGGAGATAAAAAAGAAAATAACAGAATCACACTAAGGCACCCCCCTTTAAAGTTTGAACCCTTTTAGCCCCTTTCAATCCAATTTAAACCCCCCTTCCCCCCACCTTGACAGCCAACTCGCAAAAAAAGAAATGAGCCCGGATTTGGGGTCCTCTGGGAGAGCGAAGAAATTTTGCACGCCCAGGTACCCCGGGAGTCACACCCGGGTGCCCGGCCGGGCAGGACTCGCTGGGCGTGAGAATCTTCCTAGCTTTTTTTATCTTTTTTATATTGTCTCAGAGACATGCGAAATTGAGTAAGACTGAGGTGGATTATATCCCACAGCAGACGGAAATGAGAACTGTTTTTCTTTTTTTTCTTTTTTTACCGAATAGAAGAGGGTGGCAGAAAGGGCAGAGGACATGTGACATGTGGTGGGGAAGCAGCCGAGGATGTGTCATGCAGGCTGCGGACTCTGCGGAGTGTGGTCTTACCTGGTGTTTGATGGTGGCTGCCGGTGGTTCGTTTGCTTGAGTCAAATTAAGCCGCAGGCTCCACGCCTGGTGGTGCCCTTCCGTCAATTCCTTTAAGTTTCAGCCTTGCGACCATACTCCCCCCGGAACCCGTAAACTTTGATTTCTCACAAGGTGCTGGCAGAAATGACAGTGAAAAGCAATGTGTATAGTCACATAAAAGAGGAGCGGGGAAAGTGGGTCGATGACGAAGAGAGGGAGGAAGCGGCTGCTTTGAAGAGGCAACGCAACATTGCTGGAAAAAAAAACTAAGTATTCCTGCCTCTCTTAAACCATCAGTACACGCCTCACATCGGCCGCGGGGGCGAGTCAGAGGCTGAAAAAAAAGCAACAGCCGCCGCCGATTTCTGTCATCGACGGCGCGCCGGCGCCGACTTTTCCGGATAGCCGACGAGTTACAAGTTTTTTTTTCAGCAAGGCTGGGGCCATGTAGTGGCGGTTTAACGAGTTATCCGCCTACCAACAGGCCTACCTTCTTCCCCCGAATACAACGTACGGTCATTATGGCTGTATCTAGACTGCAAGATGCCTCAAATACAGCTATGATGACCGTACGTTGTATTCGGGGGAAGACTGTAGCTCAGTTGGTAGACTTATGGAATGTTGAAATACGGGCCCAAGTTCAATTCCTGATGGAACCACATGCATTGAGAAGAGAATCATCGATCCACTTTCCCCGGTCCCGTTCTGATGCAACATATAGACTGCACAATATTGAGAAGAGAATCATCGATCCACTTTCCCCGGTCCCGTTCTGATGCAACATATAGGCTGCACAATAGCACCGTCTACTAACTACTGTCTTCACCCGAATAGAACGCCCGGTGTCGACCGGAAGACGGGTTCTGTCGGCACGCCGGACTAACCCCTCAGTCTACCCCAAGTCTGTCACCCACGGGAGGGTTGTCCGCGGCTCCTGTAGCCTGCATAATCCAACTTAGTTAATACCACACGTCGAGTCAGACGCACAAGCGGACTGACAACAAGAAGAAAAACCGAGGTCGTGCCGTTGGGAGAAATAAAATGAGTGTTCTGTTTAGTCTAGAATAATAGAATATCTCGCGCTGCTACCAGCCCCTAGAACAGGGCTAATGTCCGAATCTGAACAATCTGTTTGGGTTCCGACACTTCTCCCAGGTAGCCTCCGGCGGATCCTGCAGCCGATGGGGTGTCGTCGATACCTGGCCCGTATGTCCCACGGCACCATACTAGAACTCTCCGTGTCAGATGTGGCGTCGCGAGCCCATCGAGGCCAGAGCTCAAGTTCGACTTTCACCATTCCTCCTCCTTCGGATGTTGAGGCCCCAGTCAAGCTCTCCTGAGGGTATAAGTCTGAATCCGGACCCAACCAAAAGTAAACAAGTCCTCGCTCGGTGCGTGCGCGGAATGAGTCTCCGACCCCGATCCGGCGATGGCTCTCAACCGGGTCAAGTCTCCGTTCGGTCCAATCAAGTGTAGA